AACACATTTAAAATTTACTATACACTCGAGCCATTAGAGGACAAAAACGTCCCATTGACTTTAATGCAAACCACAGTTTTTGATCCTGTATCATCTGCAACAAATAATCATGCTTTCTGTGATGTTATGGTTTCATTTTGGACAAAAGTAGAATTCAGTCATGTCTCCATATGTTGCCCAGGCGAGAAAGTTTACACATTTCTTTAGATCTTCTGCTGTTTTTATTGAAGTCAAAAGGCCATCCTGACCTCTAAGTAAATAAAACACAGTTTGACTCTCCTACTGAACTTCAAAGTGTAGAAAACAAAAACAATTAGTATGTTTACGCACCTGCCACATTCAAACTCCTTGTAGTCTGGTTTAGGGCTGCAACAAACGATTATTTGGATAATCGATTAATCGGATGGGGTCTCGACACGATTAATCGATTAATCGGATTACATGGGGAAATTTTTAAAAACTGCTAGGGAAACGTTATTTCTCTCCTTCCTTCACTTTATTTAACACAACATTATTAGAAAACAGTTCAATAGCAGAAAAACAAAATGCTATCACCTAAATTGTCTTATAAGGTGTATAGACAGAGACCCTAAGCTACATCTATCTGTGACCTAAAATGCTTGGTCCAAGTTAAACAGCTTAAGGGCAATTCTCATCTGTTTTGTTTGATCTCATCTGTTGACATTTATTTTAAATGTAATTAAACATAGGCTGTGAATTAATCAAAATTGATCACTATTTCCAAAAATGACTGAAAAAATACCAAATAAAACAAAAGTAAATGAATGCCATCCTCCTTGCGATGATGCCCTGGGCAACTGCCATAAAGTCACATCAAGAAATGCTGCTGATCATTCCAATGATCCCAAATAGACTCACATTAGGCCACATGAAAGCAACTGAACCCAAAAATATATTAAAAAGTATATAACTGCACTCTCACACAACACGCCTGCAGCAACAGTTAGGACTCCTCCCTCCCTTTTAAAAGCGTTTTTGCTTCTGAGGACATTGTGGTTGTAAAGCCACATGCTAATAGTCTGGCCCCGGTGTGATCAACCAGTTTCTGCGGGAATGTGACGGCAGAACCAGGGCCAGATTAACACTTTGTTGTACCCTGGGCAACAATATTCAAGGGCTCCATCATCACAACCCAAGGATCACCATAATGTGGTCACATACAGAATATATTACTGTAATATGCAGTAAATATACTCAATACTTGAATGCCTGACAACACGTAACCCGCCCAGAGTAACCTTTGACCCACCTCGTGTGGACTGACCAATGAGGAGAGGGTCTTAACTTGAGGCCCTCTCTTCATTGGTCAGTCTGCATGAGACTGACTCTCAACAGACATTCAGTCGTAGGCAGCGAAGCGTCTCTGTGCAGCGCAAAAGCCCGGGTGGACAGTTTGTTTAATGTAGGGTGACCATATTTCCATTTCCAAACAAGAGGACAGGGGATCTGTGCCTATGACGTCACACTATGGCAACGCCACACAAACCATGTTGGGACCCATTTTTTGTAAGAACTAAATTAATATCAGATTCTGCCAATTAAAGGGCTCTAAAACAATTCATATGTAAATATTTTGCATATTTAATGCAAAATCTCATTTTTCTGCTTTAGTGCTGCAACAAGGTTTTATTAATAATAAATTATTATACCTTTTGTTTTACTACAGCATCGGTAAGCTTCCTGTGCACAGATTATTAAGGATGCTTGTTTCAGCTGTGAGATTAGACGATAGGATCAATGAAAACATAAGTTGTCCCACACTCCATGGAAACTTTCAGAGAATTCACAAATAGTGGCTTTCAAATGATTTTGTTACTTTTTGCAAGTTTAGAAAAGAAGCAGATGAGACGGCATGTCTGATAATTTAGTTTTTCATCTGATAATATTAGAACATGTCAGTAATGTCTGAGGGGCTTTTATAAACACCATATAACTAACACTACTGGAGAGGGCATGAATTACACAGGCTTCTGGGGAGCCCAGTTATTGGGGGGGGGGGGGGGGGGGGGGGCATTTTGCCTTATCCCCCAAAATGTCTTGAAACGGCCCTGGGTGTGTGACTGAGTTTTGAAGGTGATCTGAATTGTATCAGATGTATAAATATGACATGTGTAGAACTTATTGTTTTTTACAGGTAAAAACGTGTAGTGGAGATAAATCTACCTACATTTTACTTTTCAACACTTTGTTTTGTTTTCTTGTTTTTATTTAACTATTTTCCTGTCCTGTCTGTCTCTCATCTTCCTGCATCTCCTCTTAATACTCCAGAAAATCTGTTGCCTGGATTCTTACCTTTTCACCTCACCAGTTACTTTTGAGCAGATCAAAGGGATCTCCTGACCGAAAAGCGCAGAGCGCGTTTTCGATGCTGCATGAGGTGACATCACCACAGCACAGGTGATGAGCTCCGCAGCAGCGAGCTTCAGGCACATATAAGACAGAAAATAGAGAACATGTGCACACATGAACGATCGTGTGCTAATTATAGTTTTTTGGTTGCGCCACTTTGAGAATGGACCGTGCGCTGGAAGCAGCTGCCTGGATCGCTGCGCAACAATGCGGAACCGGTTCGCAGCAGCGCAAGTCAGCCGGCTCTCCCTCGCGCTGATCTGCGGCTCTCCCTCACGCTGATCTGCGGCTCTCCCTCGCGCTGATCTGCCGGTACCGGCTCTCCCTCACGCTGATCTGCGGCTCTCCCTCGCGCTGATCTGCCGGTACCGGCTCTCCCTCACGCTGATCTGCGGCTCTCCCTCGCGCTGATCTGCCGGTACCGGCTCTCCCTCACGCTGATCTGCGGCTCTCCCTCGCGCTGATCTGCCGGCTCTCCCTCGCGCTGATCTGCGGCTCTCCCTCGTGCTGATCTGTGGCTCTCCCTCGCGCTGATCTGACTTGCTCTGGTCTGCGCGCAACGGCGGGCGGGGGCGCTTTTGGAAGAGTTGTGCGACACAACGAATCGATGACGCAATTCGTTGCCAACACTTTTAGTAATCGATTTTCATCGAATTTATCGATTCGTTGTTGCAGCCCTAGTCTGGTTTTCTGGTCATTTCACTTCTGTGAAAGCCACGGAGCTAAATGAAGAGGCATCTCTCTGTGGAACAAGTTCTGGATCAGCTCCTGCAGCCTGATACTCCTGGAGAAAATGAGGAGAGTGAAACATCTTCAGTGGACTTTGAGGTGGAGTCAGACCATTCTGTTTCCTTGACTTCTTCTCCTGACCTGTCCAGTGAAAGAGAAGGGAGGACAATGGATCCTGCTCCAGGATGGATTTCTAAAAGTGGGCAAGTCTGGTTTCCTACTAACGCAGAAACTTCCCACTATGTTCCTGCTGCAAGATGTTTGAATCCTGGGCCAACACGTTACGCCATCACACGTATTTACGATGTGGTATCCTCCTTTGATTTATTCTTTACTCCAGAAATGACTGAAATCATCGTCAACATGACAAATCTAAATGGAAGACGTGTGGTGAAGAACTGGTGGGATATTGATGACATCACAGTGAGAGCATACATTGGGCTCCTGATTTTGGCTGGTGTGTACCAGTCCAAAGGGGAATCCACCTGCAGCCTTTGGGATGACCACCGTGGATGTGCAATCTTCCTGGCCACCATGAGTCACACCAAATTCAAGATGATCAACTCCACCCTCCGGTTTGATGATGTGCTGAACAGGCCTTCTCGTCTCAGGCAGGACAAGCTGGCCCCTATCCGCTCGATTTGGGACATGTGGACCCATCGCCTCCAAATGCTTTTCAACACTGGGTTAGATGTGTGTGCTGATGAGCAGCTTGTCCCTTTCAGAGGCAGGTGCAAGTTTCGCCAACATATGCCAAGTAAACCAGCAAAGTACGGATTGAAACTCTGGGTCACTGCTGATGTTGCCACTTCCTATGCCTGCAAGTGTCAGGTTAACACAGGGAAAGCTGCTGGTGAGGCTGCAGAGGTCGGCCAGGGAACACGTGTCATTTTGGAGATGACCGAAGAGCTCCAAGGAGTCACTTCACATGCATGCATTCACACTTCTGCCCTTTCATAACAAAATGAACTACAAAGAGTTTGGATGTGCCTGAGCTCCAGCCAGGTGCATAAACATATTGTTTTTGTTTTCTACCCTTTGATGTTCAGTAGGAGAGTGAAACTGTGTTTTGTTTACATGCTGAGCTTCTGACTTCAATAAACACAGCAGAAGATCTATAGAAATGTGTAAACTTTCTCGCCTGGGCAGCATATGAAGAAATGACTGAATTTGGTGGTGAACAGTAAAAATCATAAATTTGACTACTTTTGTCCAAAATGAAACCATTACATCACAGAAAGCATGAATATTTGCTGCAGATAATGCAGGATCAAAAACTGTGGTTTGCATTGAAGTCAATGGGACGTTTTTGTCCATAACAGGCACATGAGGGTGGTAAATTTTAAATCTGCTGCTACACAAAAACGAAAAAAGCATAAAATGTGATATTTTGCTAGACTCTTGACATATCCAAGGCGAATTCCATGCTGTCGTTCTTTTTAAAACACAGAAACGGTTTTGTTACCTTTTTTTTTAGAAATAACTCGGTGCTGTTTTTTTTCTTTTTTTTTTTCATAAATTACATCAATGACTTTGAGAATTCAAACTGGCATTTCAGGGGTTAAAAGCTTCAAAATGATTGGATTTTTTATGTTTGAGCAGGGCTGAAGTTGTTCAACAGATCTATGAAAAAAAAGTTAAAAAAAACCATTAATGTATACATTTTTTATAGCCACTTTTACAAGTGGATGTTTTTGTCCTCTAATGACTCTTGTATGAAAATTAAAGTGAAGCCTGAGGGTTAAGGCTCATATGATTTATAGAGGCTCAAAGTTCAGTTTCCAGTTGTAAATACATTTCATTCTACTGTCAGTTTAAAGAAATAATAAAACTGTTATATGTGTGAAAACACAGTTACAGCTGTCTGTAATTCACATAATATGTTTCTGTGTTTCCTACAGATTTTCAACAATAAGAAGCTTCAGAAGAACAGAGTGCTTGTGTCAACCACCAGCACCTAGATTTTCTCCACAAACAGGAGGAACAGGAGAAACGCTGGTCTAGTATGGAGGGAGAGCGTCTCCTTTTGAATGAGACTGATGCTGCCAGGTTTCAATCCTTTAGCCAGAAAACACATTTAAACAAACACACGAGAGTCCAGACAAAGCAGAAAAATTTTGCCTGTGAGCACTGTGGACAAAGGTTTCACCAAAAGACTAATTTAACCACACACATGAGCATCCACACAGGAGAGAAGCCTTTTGTCTGTGAGCTCTGTGGAACGAGATTTAGCCGAAAGAAAAACTTAACCACACACATGAAAGTCCACACAGGAGATAAGCCCTTTCCTTGTGAGCTCTGCGGAATGAGATTTAGCCAAAAGACAACATTAAACACACACATGAGAGTCCACACTGGAGAGAAGCCCTTTCCTTGTGAGCTCTGTGGACAAAGATTTAGTCAAAAGGGAAGTTTAAACACACACATGAGAGTCCACACAGGACAGAAGCCTTTTGCTTGTGAGCTCTGTGGTAATAGATTTTGTGAAAAGGGAAGTTTAAACAAACACACGAGCGTCCACACAGGAGAGAAGCCCTTTCCTTGTGAGCTCTGTGGAACGAGATTTAGCCAAAAGACTAATTTAAACAGTCACATGAGAGTCCACACAGGAGATAAGCCCTTTCCTTGTGAGCTCTGCGGAACGAGATTTAGCCAAAAGACAAAATTAAACACACACATGAGAGTCCACACGGGAGAGAAGCCCTTTCCTTGTGAGCTCTGTGGACAAAGATTTAGTCGAAAGGGAAGTTTAAACACACACATGAGAGTCCACACAGGACAGAAGCCTTTTGCTTGTGAGCTCTGTGGTAATAGATTTAGTGAAAAGGGAAGTTTTAACAAACACACGAGCGTCCACACAGGAGATAAGCCCTTTCCTTGTGAGCTCTGTGGAACGAGATTTAGCCAAAAGACTAATTTTAACAGTCACATGAGAGTCCACACAGGAGATAAGCCCTTTCCTTGTGAGCTCTGTGGAACGAGATTTAGCCAAAAGGCACATTTAAACACACACATGAGAGTCCACACTGGAGAGAAGCCTTTCGCCTGTGAGCTCTGTGGTAATAGATTTAGTCAAAAGGGAAGTTTAAACACACACATGAGAGTCCACACAGGAGAGAAGCCTTTCGTCTGTGAGCTCTGTGGTAATAGATTTAGTCAAAAGGGAAGTTTAAACACACACATGAGAGTCCACACAGGAGAGAAGCCTTTCGTCTGTGAGCTCTGTGGTAATAGATTTAGTGAAAAGGGAAATTTAAACACACACATGAAAGTCCACACAGGAGATAAGCCCTTTCCTTGTGAGCTCTGTGGAACGAGATTTAGCCTAAAGACAAAATTAAACCGTCACATGAGAGTCCACACTGGAGAGAAGCCTTTCGCCTGTGAGCTCTGTGGTAATAGATTTAGTGAAAAGGAACGTTTAAACACGCACATGAGAGTCCACACTGGAGAGAAGCCTTTCGCCTGTGAGCTCTGTGGTAATAGATTTAGTGAAAAGGGAAATTTAAACACACACATGAGAGTCCACACTGGAGAGAAGCCTTTCGCCTGTGAGCTCTGTGGTAATAGATTTAGTGAAAAGGGAAGTTTAAACAAACACATGACAGTCCACACAGGAGAGAAGCCCTTTCCTTGTGAGCTCTGTGTAAAAAGATTTAGCCGAAAGACACATTTAAACAGACACATGAGAGTCCACACAGGAGAGAAGCCTTTTGCTTGTGAGCTCTGTGTAAAAAGATTTAGCTTCAAGACACATTTAAACAGTCACATGAGAGTCCACACTGGCTTTTCGCCTGTGAGTTCGGTGGAAAAGATTTACCCAAAAGATCAGTTTAAACGGTCACAAAAGAGTCCATAAAGGACAGAAGCCTTTTGCTTGTGAGCTCTGTGGATGAAGATTTCGCTGAAAGAAATCTTTAAACAATCATCTAATCATCCACTAGGGCTGAATGATCTATTGCAGGGGTCTCCAACCTTTTCTGGCCCGTGAGCTACTTTTACACAATGAAGTACAGCAGAGTTACTGCCATATGATTTATTTACATTGATACTTTCCATGTGTGAATATGCTTATGTTAAACATGCTATACTTACTATATTAACATGCATTGTACTCACAAGTTGATTTCTCTGTATTTCAGTACATCAGTATATATATTTTAAAAGTATATGTAAACTAGTGACATTCTGAAAACCAAATTAAACAAAACATATGTAGTTTTTTAAACTAATCAGATACTTTCAGATAATGAATAACAAATCTACTTCATGTGAATGATTTGGTCATTTTTTAGAAGGTTAGTAACATTTTTTCAGCGCACAGGAACAGCTAACCTGTAAAGCTGATGATGTGTTAAATAAATACAAGCTAAATGTGATGAAAAGACAAAAGTCTAAATAGTTTGAATTGAAGTAAAAAATGTAAAATCAGAAATAAGACTTGTTCCTGCTCTCCTGATGTACTGAATAATTTTTATGGGGTTTTTTTTTTTGGTCATGAAAGTTAAGTTTTGCTGCGTTTATTGCTGACATTATGAAGCTTGGAGGTTTATCCTTTTTTCTGCATCTTGTAGGTTTTTTCTCCGCACGTCTCTAAAGTAAAATTTTCTAGTGCAGAGTGGAGACAACCCATAGGAGCACTGATTTGATCTCATTTCAGAGAAAAATAGCACAGGTTAGATGCACCTAATAAATAAAATTATAACAAACTCGGGAATCTGTTTCTTTGCTTCACTGTTCTGGTGCTGAGAACATCACTAATGCGGATCAAAGGAGATCCACAGATGAATGCACCTCTTATTTATTATTTGGAAACTACATTTACTGCAGCTGGGAGAGGCAGAAATTTTTTCTATTGATACACGGAATTTACAGAATCATTTTAAATGTTAATAGGGGAAGACTGCAGGAGGGAGCGGTAAAATACAGGGGGTCCCCAGCAAAAACAAACTTTACGAGCCTGATGAAACCCGCTGGTTTTCCATCAGGCAGTCACGGGGCAGCTCCAACGACCCAATGGCTGTGCTGGGTCAATGTTATCGAGCTCAGTCCGGCTCGGCCGTGAACAAGCTGAGGCGACGTCGTGCTCTGCTTGAAGAGGTGTTATTTTCCCGCTTCAGAAGAAGCGTCCAACGTGTTTTTACGCTTTCTCCGAGACATGTCATGTCGCTAAGTTGTTAGCGCCGTGCGATAACACGTCAATAGTGCAGCGTAGCCTGCTGGAGGTTTTAAGGGTTCAGATGAAAACACCCGACCTCTCACGCTGCTCACACATCGATCTTAAGTTGTCGCTGTTGCGCTCACATCGTAATACAGTATTAGATGCGGTTAAAGTCAGACATGAAAAAATAAAATAAATTTTACATGAATAAGTGATGCTTATCCTGGTGGGGCGAGGAAACCCTGTCAAGATCGTCAACGCTCATTTATCTTAATGCTATTGAAACATGTAAACCAAAAGGCATTATATCCACTGCTACCTTTATGCTGTAACTTCACCCTGCCCTGCCTGCTCCTCCTTGCTGCCTGCCGGCTGTGATCACAAGCGACAACATAGTAGTTCCTGCTGCTTCCTCGTGAAACGCCTATGTAAGGGAAACCCCGGTGTAGTTATTGTGTAAAGCAGTATATACTAGGAATGATTAATAAAAATAAAAACTAGAATTGAACCTGAGTTACATAGTAATAACAATTTAAGAACTCAGAAACAATAATACACTAACTTACTAAGTAATTACCATGTAAGTACTAAGTTATTAGAGGACTGTAAAAGAAAGCGCTACCAATAATTGTACTTAATATGCTTTTATGTTTGTGTGCTATGTTCTGTGTCAATATTCTTTGATTTTATTTTACACAACATGATGTGACATTTTAACTATTTCATTTCACTTGTGATTGTTTTAACTATGTGAAGCACATTGGGCTACCGTTTTGTGTATGAAATGGGCTATATAATAAACTTGACTTGAGAGAGAGTTCACAATCATGTTTTCTTACTAAATGAGACACTCAGCTGAAACTGGGGGAAATATATGATGAATCTAAATCACAGGAGATGTCCAGAGTTTTTAAAGCCCGTGTTCATCATGTTGTGGGGACCACAATGAGGCTACACTCACACCCAGTTCTTGGTACCACAGACGTATATATTGACTTGGGACTGTTTGTATGTAAATATTGTTGACTGCTTGACCGCTTGATCAGAACCAGAAACGTATGTGTAACAGACCATCTGGGTGTTCAAGGGGCCGTATGTGGAGGGCCACACAGAGGCTACGCTCACACCCAGTTCTTTGGACTGTTTGTATGTAGATGTAGCAGGACTGGTTGGTGTCTCAACCAGTTGATCGCCCAGCCTATCACACATATTAATCAAACCAGCCCATCATTAAAACATATTACAGATGATAACAACTCTACTGCTTGTACTATAAGATTAATGCACACAATTTAATTAAAGACATTTAACTGCATGTGTGCGCGTGTGTGTTTGCACTGAATGTGTTTGTGCACATGGTTCACACGTGTGTAGGGTTAATCTACATACTAGAACTAACGCTGTTGCTATTAGCTTTGTTAGATTCTGAGAAAGACAAACAAGTTAACATGTGTGCGCGTGTGTGTTTGCATTGAATGTGTTTGTGCACATGGTTCACACGTGTGTAGGGTTAATCTACGTACTAGAACTAACGCTGTTGCTATTAGCCTTGTTAGATTCTGAGAAAGACAAACAAGTTAACATATGAAGCTTCTATCATATATAAACATCTAGGATATTAATATAATCGATAGAAGATCATACACCAACGAGCTTGGTTTATATTTAATCTACGGATTAATATTTAATTTAAGATGTTTAAATTAATAGCAAAAGTTTATTTATTAAACAGAAGACTTTATAAGGTTCTTTGCTGATTCAATAACTGAAAATGCACACCATTCTGTTTCATTCAAAGAAGAGTCAGGTTTAAAAATTTAAGAATGTATTACTAACAATTTCAAATCTGACAACTTAAAATAGACAATTTATGAATAACAATTTATAAATGAAAAATTTGAACAACAATTTTGATATTAAAACTTGTTATTAAAGAAACCCCTGTGTCTGGATGGAAAACTAAGTGGAATCATGAGGTTTGGATGCGTGAATGAAATCTCAGAAGCTTTCTTTCAGAGGGAGAACGCGTTCTGGGTGAAACGTTGGTTTTGCAGCTAACTGCAATCTGTGTTCTACCTCACCGTTCAGACGACCCTCTGTGTGGATCTGGAGGTCTGGAGGATGTTGTCAGCCTCGGGGGTACTCAGGTCCGGCAGATGACCAAGGGTACCGACTTTCTCTGGTCCTAGAGTTGCCGTGAGGTGCACAGGTAGATGTGGCTTTGCATCCGGGCAGATTCTTTTTTTTTTTCTTTTTTTCTCTTTTGTTTTTTTTTCTACCGTGTCCTGTCTGGCTGTGAAGCAAGCAGAATTGATGTCTGAATGCTGGTGACAAGCCTTACAGATTTATTCTCAGGTGGAGCATCAAAGCGTTTGCTTTTAATGTCCCGCCTGATACTTAAAACTTTATTGTTATTGTTGTTGAATGCTTTGTAATTCCGACCAGACTCGGAGACAGAGGTGAAAGAGAAAGGAAAAGAAAAGGTGGGGAGAGGGGGGGGGGGGGGGGTTCCACAAAAATAAACAAAAATGAACAAGAGTCTGCTTCTAGACCTGCAGAAAAAGAGACAAAAAAAAAACAAAGGGACACAAAAAAAGGGACACAACAACAATACAACAAGATCTACCTATCACTGCGTCAACTTGATGAAAATAAGAATTATATATATATAATCAACATTGCTTAACTGAAGAATCACAATAATAAATCACAACGCATTAAGTGCCCACCATAGTCTAAAGACCTGTGTTTAACATGCCCAAGCCCATACTTTTGAGAGCACCATGTGAGCACCTGTGTGTGTACACGTGCTTGTTTATTTAAGGTTTTTCTATAGGAGTGCCCAACAGAGAGTGTGAGGGACCACAGATCCGCCCCCCAAAGATGCGCAGGAGACGGGGGGAGCTCCAAGTCCCAGAGATCCAGGCGCTGCCCCAGAACGCAGGAACCCCAAGGAGACTGCAACCAGGAAGGCCCCCGCCCCCCTCGAGAGGCACAGAGGATCGCCCCGGGAGGCCACAACCAGCAGCCGGCAGAGTCCCTGGAGATATCAGCAGCAAGCCCACAGGCCCGCCCGCAGCCTCCCACACCCTAGCCGGCCGAGCCCGGGACCCAGCGACCCGGGACCCAGGGGCGACCACCCCCGCCGGGGTCCCAGCAGAGCCCAGGGACCCAGACCCCACCAGGCAGCCACCGGGATCTAACAGGCATATACCAAAATCTTAAACCCCCAGACCCGGTTGCCACGAACACTCAGGCAGACCAAGGCACAAGCCCCCACACATGTGTGGCAGGGGGAGGGGGGACAGAGATCTATATCATCAAGAGAAGTTCCAGGAGAGGGGAGGACCCAAAGGCCCCCACCTGACATATACAGTCATACACAAACACAGTCACACGCTCCCTCCCTCATGCTCACACATGCACATACAACCCAAGACTTACAAAAATGCACGCCGGACACCCACTCATGCTCCCCATACACACCCTATTCACTCTGGTCCCGGTACTGCTGCACATTGGGTACAACCATCACCGGTAACCAGAGTTTGACCCTTTCTGCTGGGGTGCTGATGAGCAGGCTCCCCCGCCCAACGCTGAGCACAGCAACCCACCACCCCAGACCCCAACCAGACGGCCAGATCTCCCTCCTAGCCTCCAGCCCCAGGAAGCCTAGCAACAACAGAGGTGGCTAAGACCCCTAGTCTCCCTCCGCCTGCTCCAATATAGTGTTGTGTGATCATGAGGTGTATTCCATGGCTGTGGTGAGTGGGCAGTGCGGGCATCGTCCAGCATATGCCAGCTGATGCCACTGCACCACCCCACTTACACCCTCAGCCGTCAGTGTCTAAGTGCAGTTTAAAATTGGAAGTGGGCACCGGCACTCGGGAGGAGGCTGAAATATCCCCCTGCCAAATGCCGTTGAATGTGCTCACTCCCAAGGCCCTAAGTGTCTGTTTGTGTGGAATGTCGTCAGTGGAAGTGTATAAGGTGCAAATAAAATTGGGGGGGCAGGTTTCCTCAGGAATGCGGAAATGGGGTCCATACCCGCACTCCCTGACTTGCCTACCCCCCAAGGTCCTATGTGTATGTTTGTGTGATGATGTGAGGGAGCAGGAGGAGAGAAATATGCGGGGATGGGGAGGAATGGCTGGTTGGGCTTTGCCCTCCAGGGAGCCAGCTCCCCTACTGGCCCCAATAGGCACCTCTGTTGTCAAACTGCCACCCAGGGCATGGAGACCCCAGCCCATCCTGCCAGGGCCCAAAGCAGCAGCATTACAGAGCCTTACGGAGTCCGAGGGCACCAACCCAGCGCCACCCCAGCAGAATATCTATGCCCACCCCTGCATTTGCACAACTTCCAGAATATATAAGACATGGGACATCCAGGTAAGGTTGGGTCCTCCCCCTCCTGGACCTCCCCCTCCCCTGTGATGGAACGGCAGAGGAGCCAAGGTCTACCTGAGGCCGCCGAACCCGGGCCAGGCACTGCTGGGTGTCCCTGCCTTCTTCCCGGCAGCATACACGTCAGGACCCGACCCCCAAGGCCCCGCCCAGATCCCCACACGGGGCCGGCCACCCCCAAACCCCGAGCCCCCAGGCCCCCACCCAGACCCGCCCAGGGGCATTGCAGCCGCCAGGCAGTGACCCATGGCCGCCGCCAAGATCCCCAAGGGGCCCCACTCACAACCGCCAGCAGCCCACCCCCCGAGGCGACCCAAGCACCTCCAGAGGGGGGCAACGGCCCCCCAGTCCCAGACACCCCCAGTGAACCCACCTCCAGGGAACATCCGGATACTCCAAACTCAGACCCCACACCCCCCCACCCACACCATCCCGCAGGACAACATCAACGGCCCCCCACCCTCGCTATGTGATGGAACCGATCAAAGGAGCCCAGAGAGATTCATCTGAAGTGGAAGCAGAGGCTATATCAAGTGCAATATGATCTAACAAAAGATTTCTGTACTGGTTAATGCAGAGACTTTCTCTATTTTTCCAATTCAAGAGGATAGTTTTCTTAGCGATGCATATGGCAGTCAGAACCACGTGAACCAAAGATGTTGCAATCGGGACATCGTCCAGGTTTCCCAGTACACAAAGAGAGGGGGAAGTTGTGATATCACATTTCAGACATTTTGACAGATCCTCACATACTCTACCCCAAAATTCCTGGACAGGTGGGCAGGACCACAGTGCATGAATGTAATTGTCAGGAATGTTGTTTGTGCAGTGTGTACAGGTGTCAGACGACACAAACCCCATCCTGAACATCCGATGACCTGTATAGTGTACTCTGTGTAGAATTTTGTACTGAATTAATTGTAAATTGGGCTGTCTGATCATTTTAAAAGTTTTTAAACAAGTTTGGGACCAGAAGTCCTGGTCAAAGCTAACTGATAGATCCACCTCCCATTTTTCAATAGGGATTGCAATTTTATTGTCTATTTTGGACAGTGTCTTATATACTTTAGACAGTAGTTTGGGGGGTTTGAGATTATAAAAGTCTAATACCCTTGGTGGTGTTTGTAATTCTATTTTATTGAGCTTAAATTTTTGTTTGACTACAGATTTAATTTGGTGATATTCTAAAAAGCTATTCTTATCTATTCCAAATTGGGAGACTATTTGATTAAATGGGATGAAGTCCAATCTTTCATATATGTGTTCCAGGTATAGGATTCCTTTATTTTTCCAGTCCGGAAGGTTCATCATTTTGTTGTTTTGCAAAATGTCAGGATTGTTCCAGATAGGTGTGCGTCTGCATGGTACTAAAGAAGACTCTGTCATTTTAAGATACTCCCACCATGCTGTCAG